AGTTTGAAGTCGAGTTTGAGGGTTTAGGGTTTAGGGTTTATTAGGGTCTAGGGTGTAGGGTTTATAGGGTTTAAGGCTTAGGATTTAGGGTTTAGGGTTGCAACTAAGGCTACGATGTTGCCGGTGACGAGGCCGGCAACGGCTGCCCTCACAGGGTTGGCACCTGCCTGGTGAACGAGGAGCTGTCCTTGGGCAAGTGCACCCTGGTTTGTCCAGTTGGGTATTCTAGCACCCAGAGTAGACCCTCATTTTTCTGTTTTCAGGTTTAGGTTCCTTATAAGTCCCATGAAAATAAAAATAAGGCACCCTTTTCATGGCTAGGTTACGCTTGGGTTTGGTACTTCAGGGCTCTAGGGTTTAGGCAATCCAGCCGGCCTGAAATCTGCATCCACAAACCATGGCCCAGGCAAGGGCGGATTTTTGTTGCATGCGTCGGTTTGTCAGTTCAACCCCCAAAGCTCCCTTATACTCATAGTCCTGAATAAGGGTATAATATTATTCATTGGAATATGATTCTCATGACCTTTCATACTATTTATACAATATGATTCCTATAGTCCCGATTAAGGACTGGAAGTATAAGGGGAACCCAACCCATGCCCATGGAGCGAAAGAATGAGGCTACAAGCGATGTGAAGACCTGACGGTGGGCCAGTTTCCTTACCGAACCAGCCCGGAGCCGAGATAGACTTCGGTTTAGGGCTCAGGGTTTAGGGTTTAGGGTTTGGGGTTTCTGGGCCTCCAAGAACGCTTGAGAGCTGTAAACGAGACATCCTACACCCGATCCGAGAGGCTATTGGAATAAAGGGGCCCGATTCATCACGCATTCCCCCCCAAAGCTGTACGCCCTTGAAAGGAGTTTGTTCTGTGTCAGTTAGGCTGCAAGGAAGAGTCACTGTTAGGCAGAGAACGAAGGTTATCACTTTGTGTGTGCCCTGCATTCGTTTATGGGGAGGGGGGGTAAATAGGATCTCTTTGTCATCAAATTCGCCGTCTGCTAGACTAGAGTCTGGACAGCTTAACGTATCCGAAGAGGCCCCCTGGAACAAACCTCGTGTGGCTTCATGAAAATGTACCCGAAGCAGCTGAGAACTCTTGCTTTTGATTGTCTGATGAGGTGCCGACACTTGTTGCAAGACCAAGAACCTCTTGGATGCTTGTCTCGCTTCAGTGCTTTAGAATTCTCATGATTTGGACACTGGAATTCCCATGATACTGTGCCATAAGTCAGCTTCGCAAACTTATGACCTCTCGAGCCCTACAACAACAGAGTCCTTAGTTGGGGCCCTGCAGCGCAAGCAGGCTGTTTCTAAATCCTGCGCACATCCACAACATAACAACAGCCGAGCGAAGTTAAGGAGTGGGGTTGGGGTTGAAACTTAGGGTTGCAGCGTAGTTCTTTGGCGGTTTAGGGGTATTTGTTGGGGGTGTTAGGGTTTAGGGGTATTTTCAGTTTGTTTTTAAACCAGGGTTTAAGGCCCCTTGCCGTTAGAAAGTCGGAAGCATGCGAACCAGGAGTGCATCGAGCCTTCCAACAGCATCTTTGGCTGCCTAGGGCGTTGATGGTTCTGTAACACCAGGTAGCTTGGGTTGGGTTTTAGGGTTCAGGGTTCAGGGTTCAGGGTTCAGGGTTTAGGGTTTAGGGTTTAGGGTTTAGGGTTTAGGGTGTTCCCCCTTATACTAGGGTTTTAGGGTTGGGGTTTAGGGTTTAGAGTTTAGGGGGTTAACAGTCCTTAGTAGGGGGAGATAATAGGGGCTACTATAGTCCCGATTCAGGACTGCTAGTGTAAGGGGGAGCCTCCGCACTTGTAGCCCTAGACCAACACCCTACCCGTTTTGACTGAAGGGTTGTGTTCTTTGTGCAGGTCAGTGTGAATATTGTCCAGCTTGCTTGGTTGCCGGCCCAGGAAGGTGTCCAGCCTAAACCCTATAAGCCCTACTCCCCGGAGACCCTAAAGTAGTGTACCTTGCAGTTGCAGGCTCGGGGCGACTTCAGGGTTCACAAGTTGTGGCTTCTAGTCTCGGACTCAGGTTTGAGTGTTGCCTTTGATTTTTGTGGCGTCTGCAGGGCGCAAGAACAAAGATTTGGATGCCGTGCCAACCCTGAAGCCCGAACGCTGAACCCTGGAACAGCCAACGACCGCAGTGTCTATATACACTGGTTCAACCTGATGTTGTCGGCTGCTCCTTGTAATATGTTCAACTATTCCTGCGGGTCAGGGTTGAGGGTGTCTCATCGAGGGGGGACGCTCGTGCCAAAAGCACCCAGGCGCGCGCCCTGAATCGTGTAGTCCCCGCCCCACTTGCGCTCCACCCTCATCTTGACCTTTGCGGGTTTAGGGGTTCCCTTGCTTTCCGTTCGCGTTTTTTTGTTCTTTTATTTCTGTTCGAGCTGGTGGACTGACAGCGAAGCATGGAATTGAGGGTTTACGATATTCGGGGTACCTTATTGCGGTCCTTATTGTAAGGATCGTGCCATGTTTTGGGGGTCTCCATTCGGGCCCCCTATTTTCGTAAACCCCCATTTGGGGCGCCTTGTGCCCAGAACTCCAGGAGGTAAGTTTTTTCGAATGCTTTCTTTCTAAATCTCGGGCTTGGCTTCGGGGGTCGGCTCGCTCGAGGAGCCGCGAATCCTTGGAAGGACAACTTCCTGTATGTGGGGTTCGGTTCGGCATTGGGGCGGGCTCTACGCCCCTAGAGTCACGTCGTAGCCCTAGGAAGGCCTAGGAAGGGCGCCTCGATTCCTTGGCAAGTTGGCGCTGGGCGGCTGAACGCGCCGGGGATCCTCGCCCACGGATTGGCCTTGGGTTTGGCCCGCCAACAAACACACCCCCCCCCCCCCACGTCGCCCGAAAGTTTGGGGTAGTAGTTCTAGGGCGACCTGATGGCCATTTGCCGCAGTTGCCTACGGGACTGAAAGCTCTGTCGCCATCCCACAAAGCTCCCTCGCTTGCCTGCTTCGGCGCCGCCGCCCTGCTCGACAACCCTGGCTCACTCAGTTTAGTTAAAACTTGAAACCATTTGAAACCTAAAGGGCCTAGCTTTTTACAGAGGACCTCTCCCTAGTTGGTATCCCGCAGTAGGAATCCTAGAATCAACCACATCAAAACTACCACTGGGTTCCCCCGATTTTTCGCTGTCGGAGGGCGCATGAAGAGGTCACTTCAGTTTCGCGTTCAACGTCGGTGGCGGCAAGGGGGCAGAGGCGAAAAGCCACGAGCCAAACTCAAGCATCCGAGCAGCACAAGTAGAGCCTTAGTAGCTGACGTGAGTACACTTTTGGGATATATAATCCCCTGTAGAACTGAAAGTGTTCACTTTTGGGGGGTGGGCTTGGCCTCAGCAACTAAGGAGCCGTTAGTGAGTCCAAGGTGGTGGGGGGACAGCAGGTGTACATGTGGTTACTGGACTAGGTATTTGATGTGTGGTGGATTGAGACTTGGCAAGACCGAAGTGAAGCATAAGGACAGTGTTTGCCTTGCTGTCTGCAGAAACCTGACCCTACTATAGGGCCAGGGCTTATGCGGTTTTGTGGGTTGCATCTAACATATAGGCCTTGCAACCGAAGATTCTATGGAGGTAGAAGTGGGGGTGCGGTTGGATGTTGTCTTTCGATGGGGGCCGACTCTCTGCAAAGTTGATATATTTGCGGCTCCCGATTTGAGTTGTGGGGACTCTTTGGATTACCCACCCCACACCACCCCCGCCCCCCCCACCCCCCCCCCCCCCCACCCCACCCCCACCCCCCACCCCCCCCCCCACCCCCCCACACACCCCCCCACCCCCCCCCCCCTCCCCAGCCCCCACGCCACCCCCCCCTGTCCCCCCACAGCGCCCACCCCCCCCCCCACCCACCCACCCCCCCCCCCCCCCCCCCCACCCCTCACCCCCCAACCCCCTTCCCCACCCCCCCCCACCCCCCCCCCCTCCCCCCGACCCCCCCCCCCCCTTCCCCCACCCCCCCCCCCCCCCCCCCCCCCCCCCCCCACCCCCACCCCCCCCCCCCCCCCCCCCCGCCCCTCCCCCCCCCCCCACCCCCCCCCCCCCGCACCCCCCCCCCCCACCCCCGCCCCCACCCCCCCCCTCCCCCCCCCCCCCCCCCCCCCCCCCCCCACCCCCCGCCCCACCCCCCCCCCCCCCCCCCCTCCCCCCAAAAGAAAATAGAATGCGTTTAGGGGGTAGGGTTTAGGGATTACTAAGACTCTGGTAGGGTCCTGTTTCAGAGCTGGGTATATCCAAATAATCCCAGCTATTCTCAGGTTTATGGCTTAGAGGATACGGCATACGTTGTAGCAGCATCTTGATTTCTAAGTTGGGCGGGAGAAGGCTGATCTTACACCACTGGTTGGCATCTTTGTTAGTGAAACAGAAAAGGACTGCAATGGCAGAGGGGATGCTTCGGTTACTTCATGACGTTTGAGGGTGTGTTGCACAGCAGAGTTCCGTTCGATCGCGGTGCCCACACGCCTGTAGGCGCTACAGGGCTGAGGAATTTTGTTGCTGCAGTGTTGTGCCCACGCAATCTCAACACAATTTCTTGGTTGGCCAACCATTTCGCCCTGCAGCAGAATCATGTGCAAGTGAGGTACACTGAGCTCGGTCACTGACCTGCAGCTGTTTTTGCAGCAGGCCGTTCCAGGAAGCGCCTTTGTGGTAACACGATGAAACCACGGAGGTCGCTGTCCGGGTATTGAAATTAAGGCATGGAATCCACACATGCTGCTTTGTGTGTCTGGTAGGCCCGCCAACTATGGCCAGAAGAGCCGTAGCCTGACCTACGTGCCACTTTGCCCGACAGGGGTTGGTGGCTTATGGCCATGCGAAGCATGGAAGTTATGTCGATAGCGCAGATCCCCATCGCTTTTGGCCAAACATCCTTGCGTTGGATGTCACGTCTTGTCACCTCTAATGTTGCTCCTCGCGGTGGGGGCCCTAAGGTGTAGGAACCTGCGCCCTTCCGCTGAATGCATGTCCGTGGTGCGAAAGAAGCCGGTGATGAGGTCGATCCAGCTACATGCACGCGGCCTCCAAGCAGCTCCACTTAGGCACGTGATGGGGTTTCGGCGTTCAGGGGGTATTGCTAGTAATTGTTCCGACCCCTCTTTTACTTCGATGCAGATTGTGCAGTTTCAGTTCGGGAGCCCAAGGGAAACCCTTCGGCCCTTCGGGTTGTTTTTCAGAGGCTGCAGGCCCAAACCCACCCTCCCAAAGATCCTTTCAGGTTTTGGGATCCACCCGCAGACCTTGACGGCCTAAAGCCTATAAATCCTAGAACCCCCTAAAAGCCCTAAACCCCCTAAACCCCCTAAGAAATCCTACACCCCTAGAAAGCCTAAACCCCCTAAACACCCCTAAAACCTGAAGCCCCTAACACGAACAGTCCTTAGTAGGGATTATAGTACCCCCGATTATAGTCCCTACTAAGGAGTGTTAGTGTAAGGGGGGAACACCCCAACCCTAAACCCGAAACCCTAAACCCTAAACCCTAAACCCTAAACCCTAAACCCAAAAGCCCCTGCCCCCCCCCCCGGAAAGCCCCAAGATGCCACCCTGGTCCAGACGAGCTCAGCGAGCAGAAGGAGCTGAGATCACCCAGGGCCGAATCTGCCAGCACCTTTGGGGGTTTAGGGTTTAGGGTTTAGGATTTAGGGTTTAGGATTTAGGGTTTAGGGCTGAGAGATTAGGGGCTGAGGGTTGGCGTTTGGGTTGTTCCGTGTGAATTGCAGGCAGATCTAAGGTTTGGGACAGAGGGCCGCGGGGTCGAGCTACAGTGTGGCCTTCTTGTTGGCCCCTCATGTGGAATATTCCGGTTGCGGCATGAAACTTGCCAGTAGCCCGGAAAGCCGGTTTGGGGTTTAGGGTTTAGGGTTTAGGGTTTGGGGTTTAGGGTTTAGGGTTTAGGGTTTAGGGCTTAGGGTTCGGGGCGTTCAGGGGCCCAGGAGCTCAGTCTGACCGGTCTCCTGCGCTCGCCCAATCAGCCAACTTGGGGGAAAATAGAACCCTTAACGGCGAAGCCCTGATCCCTCATCCCTCAAGGACCCAAACCCTAGATCCGAAACCCTAAAACCCTAAGCCCTAAACCCTGGACCCTTAGGGAGGGTTTATCATCCCGCAGCCCGAAATCCGAACCCATGCGCCAAGGCGCTGGCCTTCTTGCTTGGGGCTCTCGCAGCCTCGGCTGTGGCAGCTGTTTTGGCCTTTGGGGTCCGGCCTCAAGCTGATCAAGGGACTACAGGAGGGACCCTTGTAAGCGACCTTAGGGTTATTTAGGGGTTATTTGGGGGCTACTTAGGTACATAGGGACTATATAAAGTATATCTAGGGGTTATATAGGGGCTGAACTCATTTGGGGGGTTACGATGATAGGGGGTGCTTTCTTGGGGTCCTTTTTATCAGGGGATCCTACTATTTGAGGGGTGTATATTAGGGGTCCCTCATTTTCGTAAACCCCCATTTGGGGGAGTACAAGGCGGGGCTAAGAGTTAGGGATCTAGTGTTATTTAAGGTTAGTCTCTCAAGCCCTTCACAAGGCAATACATGTGCCCTGAGAACCCCAAAAAGCCAGATCAATGGCCTGAGGGTTAAGGGTTTTGGTGTTTATGCGCCTCTTTCTCAGGCTTGCATAGTTACATCATCATCATCATCGACTGCACTGAGCCCGAAGTCAGAATGGTCATATGGTTACAAGCCATTGTTATGGGTTATCCTGGTTGTCCTGGTAGGCCTTTTCCTGTGCCCTCTTCCTGGTAACTGCAGCGCATGGGAGAGTTGGATTTCAGCAGGCTTGAAGGGGGTTGGGAGTTAGGGTTCTCGAAGTGACCCCCCCCCCCCCCACCACCCACCCAATAATCCCGAGCCCCCGGCCCCACCTCGACCCAAAGAAGCATCGCAATGCATCTTAGGGTTTAGGGTTTAGGGTTTAGGGTTTAGGATTTAGGGTTTAGGGTTTAGGGTTTAGGGCCTCAACCCTAAGAAGCTCCAATCTTTGCTTCAACCAAGAAGCCCTGCGACCTCCGAGGATCCCTCAAACATCTTCGGATGAGGGTTTGGGGTATTCAAGATTTCTTAGTAACCCCGGAACAAAGCACTAGAAGGTTTAGGAACTCAATCTTTCAACCTAGCTCGAGGCCGGGCGCAGGCGCGCGCGGGAGGCTTCGGAGCCTTTGTTGAAGGCGCGGATTCGCTGCTGTGATTTAACCTCGAGATTCTCCCAGTGTATGCTGTATCCTCAAGCCTAAATTCCCAAGCTCTAAGCCCTCAAAGTGGGAGCTTGGTGGTCGGCAGTGTGCAGTTTGTTTCTGTGGTGGTTTAGGGTTTTGAGTGCTGGGCTTAGGGCTTAGATTTATTGGCTCTTTTGGGCGTCAGTGCCTGGTTTCGGCATTGTTGCCGGGCTGATGCCCCTTGATGGCTGAAGCTGGAGGTTTTTGGATCTTGTAGTAAACTGCTGGGTTGGGAAACCTCCCTAAACCGTAAACCCTAAACCCTAAACCCTAAACCCTAAACCCTAAACACAAATCCTTGTCTCACAAGTGCCCAGGCTTTGCCGTGACAGGGACACTGGAAGTCGCGGGAGCGCGACTTGCACAAATGCAGCCCCTGCCGCGTGGCTACGAGGCCAAAAGGTTGAGGCTATAAAGGGTTTAGGGTTTAGGGTTTATAGGGTTAAAGTCTCGGACAAGATGGCTGTTCCGTTAGCCACTGCGGCGAAGTTGTTCAGTCCGTGCGACCTTCTCTCGGAATCTTAAGCGGTTTCTTAGTGCAGTGTGGCAAACTGCCCAAGTATACCCCGACGGTGGCGACCATTGCACACGTCATTGCACGCCTTGCAAACTTGACCCTTTGGTTTCTCGCTTCTCAGGGCCTTGATGTCTTAGTAGCTGAGTGAGCACACTTTACACTTTTTGGGATACTATACTTGACTATTATCCCCTATAGAACTAAAAGTGTACGTTTTTTGGGGCTTTTGAACTCAGCAACTAAGATGTGAACTTTTGCACCCAGAGTTTTGAGGCTTAGCTTCCCCCCCGCCTAAACCGTATCTTTAAACCCTAAACCCCTAAACCCCAGGAATTCCTAATAGTGTCGCACCGATATTAGGCCCTGTAATCACACTGTAATCCCTATAACCAACCCTATAATTACGGGAACTTCAGAGAAATGAGTTACCACAATACAGATGCCATGTTACATAGGCCTCTTCTGGTGAATTTTAACTTAAGCTGCTTATAGCAACAACGCAGCAATGGGAAAGGAGTGGCTTTAACGAGTGGAGAGGATTGCACCTCCATGTTGTAAACTCCGGTTCAGGGTGTAACCCCTATTTTGTAGGGGTCGGAGAATTGCGAATAGCATTCCCTTGTGGTTCCTTTGTAATTATACTGTAGCAACCCCACAAAGCCCTATTCCAATTATTAAGGCCCTATATTACACACTCAAGCCATGGTTTGTCGCACAAGCAGTTCCAATGACAGTTCCAGAGAGGTGGCACGGTGCCCTGACAAGCAATCTGTTAGCTACTTAGCCGGGGTTGAGATGCCTCCCAGTACGTTGTGGTACCACTTCTGGATTTGGGGGTTTACGATACGAACATAGGGGACCTCTGATATAGTCCCCCCAACAGTAGGATTCTCGGAAAATATGGACCTTTCATAAGGTACCCCTACTTGGAGGTTCATGGCACCCATGAACCAAATTAAGGCTGTACTTATAACCCGCTTATGAGCCCCTTAAGTGCCCCAATATGGCTATAAGTACAGTTATAAATCCAGTTAAAATTGGTTTATATTAATAAGTACCATGAACCTCCAAGTAATTTCGGAAACCACCATTTGGTTTTCGGATCGGTCAAAGCACATTTGTTGCATCAGGGTTGTTAGCATACTTGTTGGGTTGATGGTTCCGATAAGCCCAAAAAAACCTGCTCGGGGTCGCCTCCTGAAATTTCGAGACCGAACGCCATCATGTTTTACTTAGGGGTCGGAATAGTTTCCAATATTATTACCTTAAGGTCCCTGTAGAGTTATACTAGAATCACCCCCAAAACCCTGTTCTAATTCGTGAGACCCCTATATAGTATATTGTGTCGTAGGTTGCCTCTTCGACCGAGGCAGTTGTGCTCCGAGATGTTTGGCAGGGGTTCAGATTGCCTATTAAGGACTGTTACTATAAGGGGGAACATCCCAAGTTTAGGTTTAGGGTTTTACACTGAGATTTGAGGGTCGAGGTCGTGGTCGAGCCATCGTAGGCATGGGAGGCTTTTTGAATCTTATGATTCTGAGCTTAGTGCATGACGGTTTTTTCGCACGTGCCGCCGGCACCCGCACCGACCTCTTCCGAAGAACCCTAAGCCCTAAACCCTAAACCCTAAACCCTAAACCCTAAACCCTAAACCCCAAACCCTTTCACAAGTGCCTCTAAGCTTCGGTTTCTCTTGTTTCTCCGCAGTTCACCTGGGGCGGACAAGACACTTTACACCCTCAACCCTGTACCCTAAACCGTCATCGTTGTGAGACGCCATGCTTGAACTGAAGAGCCCGGCAAAGTGTTGCGCGCAGAGGGGATCTAGATGGGACGCCAGGCCGGGCTCTTGGGAGTTTTTTGATATTTTCCTTTTTTTGGTTTGACAGGGCCTTACAAGGTTGGCTGTTGGGATCTTGCATATGTTCCTTATTCTACAATTTGCTGAAGAACTCCCCCCTTCCACCCCCAATAAATGAAAGAACATAATCCCTACATTGCCCTTTTGCGGGAAGCATTTCTTTTTTTGCGGTGGCTCTTCAGGAAATAGTAGTATTTGGGTTTATAAAGGACCCTACAAGGGCTTCAAGGGCCAACCCAGCTTATTTAGGAACATTTTCACAGGGTTTCGAAAGACCAGCACACGATTCGCACATTGAAATGTTGGAGCCTAGGGTTTAGGCTCTGGGGGGTGTAGGAGTCTGGAGCCTCCTTCACTTTGTCATAGTGGGGTAACATCTTGCATTTTAAAGGGTACTTAAACTCAATAAGAAATAGAAATTGAGCTTTTTCACAGTATCCCAACCATGAATTAGTTCACATCTGGTCCATACCAGATTGTTGTTTTGGTTGTTCAGCGTTCGGGAATTCAGGGTTTAGGGTCTAGGTTTGGGGATTTTGGGGTTTAGTTTTGAAGAGTCTCTAGGGTGCTTACGGCTCTTCAAGGGTTTTCAAGATACGCCTCCCTGAGATGTTCATCTCTGGGCCCAGCAGCACCTGTAGCCCTTTTATGGAGCAGATCGCAACCTCCTTGGGGGTGCTACCTGCTCCTCCTTTTTGGGACCCCTAAACCCTAAACCCTAAACCCTAAACCCTGTGGGTTTGCGGTTTAGGGTCTAGGGTTTACGGCTGAGGGTTTGATTACCCAGCCCTGTAGACAAAGTTAAGCCTTTCATAGGAATCGAGTAAGCTGCGCTAGCTCGTGACATCCAACAGGAATGAGGTTGCAAGGGCGGCGGTGCTTCCTCCTTGCTCGTGCCGCGGCAACACCTTGATGAAGATGCTGTATCGCTTGGAGCGTTGTTCCTCGGGCTCTTTAAGTTGCCCGAAAGTAGCCAAAATGCCCAACCCGACGCAGTTTCCTCGACGTCGGCAGTGTTGATTCGCTTCATGGTCTCAGCCCTCACCCTAAACCCTGAATCCTAAACCCTAATCCTTAACTCTCAGACTAAACCCTATATGCAACTGCCGACTCCTGAAGACGCAGATTCCACAACGCTCCAAGTTCAAGGGGATTGATTGATACATGCATCTCAGTGGCGTCCCTGCTGGCGACGTGCTGGGGGCTGACTCCTGGTCATCGGAAGACGAAGCCCTACACCCTACATACCGTGAACTCCAGGCAGCCCATGCAAGGATTCCGCATAAAAACTCTCACACACACACACAGACACAACCCGAAGCCACAAGCTGAAGGAGCTGCCGTAAACCTCAAAATCCCTATGCACTTGATGTGCTTTTATCGAGATTGTTCGGATGACTTCGTGGTCAGGAACCTCATGCGCAGTTGCCCGCTAAGCGCTGGCACAGCATGGCTTCCTCCTCAAAACCATCAGCACTTGTATGGAAGTCCTTTGCTGCAAGGTGACTTGGACATCTGGTAAGTTCTTTATATGGGCACCTTTCTAAGGGTGCCCTAAAAAATTGGGGCCGCCTTGTCACTATGACCCCAAACGGGAACATAATTTAGAGGCAGCACCATCTTCAATGCAACATGCGTAGACGATAGCCGGATGAGCTTTGTGGCTTTGTGGCCATCGGGGCATCATTCAAAGTTCGTCTTCGTGGATCTAAGAACTTCGGGTTCAGAACGCCAGGATTGTGGAGTTGAGAGGTTCAGGCTTCCGCCGCATTTCTTAGAGCCCGGGTTGCTTCATGCAGGGTTTCGGGTTTAGGGTTTAGGGTTTAGGGTTTAGGGTTTCGGGAGCCCCCTTCGACAGTCCTTGCAGCACCATGTGGAATGGCAGCATTTGGGCTTGGCTGCTCTCGTGCGCGCTGATGCAGCACGCAACCTATGCTTCCCATGCAGCAAGGAAACCGGACCTTTCCATGGCCTCCCAATTGTTTGTTTAAGTAGGTCTTAAAGGGGGTTAAGAGCATGAGCATGGAAGCCTGTACTACACGCCAGATGCATGAAAGACGGCAGCGTCTGACCCAACTGTACACGCACACAACAGTGCGCGTGGAGCTCCAGCAACTTGATGTTAACACGTGACCACCGCATGGAAGACTCCCAGCGATTCGACCCAACCTCAGTTGTCTATTCAACGGCTCACACCCTACACCCAGGGGCCCCTAAACCCTAAACCCTAAACCCTAAACCCTAAACCCTAAACCCTAAACCCTAAACCCTAAACCCTAAACCCTAAACCCTAAACCCAGGGGTTTCGAGCCCCATGTATCCAGTCCTGAGAGCGCCGGCGGTGCCGGCGCTCACGCCCGGCAGCAGCTGCGCCGGCTCTGGCTGCAACCCCGGGACTCTTCGTGTGAGGTCGGGTTTAGGGTTTATAGGGTTTATAGGGTTTATAGGGTTCATAGGGTTCATAGGGTTCATGGGGTTTTTAGGGTTTTTAGGGTTTATAGGGTTTACAAGGTTTTTTGGGTTTATAGGGTTTATATAGGGTTCATAGGGTTTATAGGGTTTTCAGGGCTTTTAGGGTTTAATTATAGGGTTTTCAGGGTTTTTAGGGCTTATAGGGTTGGGGGCGCCCCAGGTCGCCATGGCACGGCGCCTCTGCTCGCGTTCCCGGCCGCGGCCTGCGCCTTGAGGCAGGTCGGATCGGTCCCGAGGCGCGCTTCCGGGGAGGGTTTCGGGTTTCGGGTTTAGGGTTTGGGGTTTGGGGTTTAAGGTTTAGGGTTTAGGGTTTAGGGTTTAGGGTTTAGGGGAATAGTAAGTTGCGCTCTATGATTTCTTCGGCATAAGGGTCCCTTGCCCAAAGGCCAATGAGCCCCAAACCCCAACCCCTTTAGAACTTCACCGCCCAAAGCCGGCGAGCAATGTCCCAAATCCCCCTGATGCTCAACGTGAAGCTG